AAGTAATTTAAATTACTTAATTGTTTCCTCACCCCTCAATTCAGCACCACAATGAACATCCTGCCAGTGAAACAAGACAAGAAAAAGAAATAAAAATCACATAGATTGAGAGAAACATAAGAAAAGTCTTTCCTCAGAGGTGACGTGGTTAAGGACGTAGAAGCAAGGAGCTGAGAGGCAGCTCCTTGAAATATTAACTCTTCTCCCAGCCTCTGCGGGAAGGGAGGAGCCTCCTTGCAGGGCTCCCAGCTCAAAGCTGCAGCCATATAGATACGAGAAGCTGCTTTTCCTTTGAGTGAAGGTAATGAGTGACACATAAAGCACAGGGGACCCCTCCCAGTTACTCTGTGGGTAACAACTTATGGGGCCCACCGATCCTAGCTGTGAGGACTGGGTGTGATTTACCCTGAGGACTGGAGTCCGACTGGCAGTTTCCTGTGGGTGCTGTCTCCGTGAGGCGGGGCTACCCTCAAGGTCAAGGCCAACGCTCGCTCACTCTGTAGTAATTCGCACCCTTCTCTTCTGTCTTGGGGGAAGGCTTTCCAGACCGCAGGCAAGCGTTTTATAGAGTCAGATTCAGGGGTGTGGGTAGAAGAACTCACTCCCGTACTGGGAAAGCTGTGTCAGAAAGTGTCACAAAATCACACTAAGCTGCAGGACAGGTGACTTCAACACCAGAAGTGCACGGAGTGCCACAGGTGGAGGCAGTTGTTGGGCGCTCGGCCGCTCCTCAGCCCCGGGAGAACGCTTTACTTCATGCTTTTTCAACCTGAAAGGAGGTCTTCAGCTGGTTTGCTTTAAAAAGTTCGTTTGCCGTCCTTAGAGAGGGAAACGCAAAGCCCAACTCCTGCCCGCTGACAGAGAAGTTTGGGGAAAAACGTAGTGAGCAGTCGAGCAAAGGAAATGGCTCTGAGAGAAACTCAGCCCAGGTGTCTCAGTTTGACGTGCACTCACACGTCGCCAACTTAGTTTCCTTTTTTATTCCCGAAAGACCTGGCAGGACTTCAGAAGGGCAGATATGGACATAGGCTGCAGGCAGGGCAGCCTCAGCGCCGCAGGAACCCGGGCATCAGAGGCGTGGCAGGCTCCTTACACCTCCCTGGGCCTCACCTGAGCCACAGCGGCCGCGCCCAGTGACTAACCTGAAGATGAGAAGCGGCCGCCTCGTGCCTTCGCTCACCCTCACCCCTGCGCCTCCCTGCCTCAGGCCTGTGGGAAACCGGAAAAGAAACTTCGCTCCCAGGGGAGGATCTGGAGCTGAGCGGTGTGACAGTGATTTCCCTTTCCTCGTCTGCTCCCAGCTGAAAAGGGGAGCCCTCCCTGGGAGCTGGGGTCCCCACTTCTGCCACAAAACCTCCAGGTCCTTGAGGGAAGGAGGGGGCAGCACAGCACAGCAGGAAACAAGCCCTGGCCGCTGAGGAGCCCAGTGAACTCACGCAGGGACTCACCGCGGCCCCGGAGGGTGTTCGAGTCCCGCCGGGGGCCCAGCATGAGACCCGGAGCTGCAGAGGGAGACCGCAGCTGGGGCGGGAGGAGCCTCCTGGTGGTCGGCACGGCCCCCGTCCATGAGACAAAGGCCCTGACCAGGGAGCCAGTCCAGGACACGGGGGACTGCTACCTGCTCTCGCCCCAGCCTGCTGCCGGTCACCCAGCTCGGCCGCTTCACCGAGGAGCTGTGGGAGCGCGAGGTCTTGGGCGGAGCCGTGAGCACGTGGTGGCCCTGTTCCCCCGCAAGGAGGACCCGGGGGCAGGTCCCTGCAGGAGTAGTGGCCCTCACGGACAACCAGAGCCTCAGGGCCCTGGTGCGGGAGTGGGGAGCTGGGGGGCCGCCACT